GTCTGAGAAAAAAAATTAATTCATTTCGACAAGAGGAATTACACATTTCTAATAGATAATATGGAAGGAAATGTTTCTTATAATGTTCTTCATAATGTCCTTGTAAATTACTATAAATATATTTTTATATGCGTATATGTATACAACGTAAATTATTCGACTATAATATATAAATAAGTAATAAATCAATGAACCAGAACTAAATTGCCATTAGCTATTTTATTTTCTTAATATATTGTATAAGGACATACATTACACACATTTTATATAAAAAAGATTTAAGCTTTCAAGATTCATCAATAAAAATATTATCAATAATAATTGAATATTAAGCTGTATGCATTTTCCTCTTTGTGTATAAAATATAGAGGGTTTTATGTAATATAATAAATATTTTACAATACATGTATTATATTTAAGTATTTCATAATTTAATAAAGATTAAATTAAAAACAAGATTGATAAAAATTATTGAATAGACAATACCACTAATACTTTATTAAGCCTAGATTTGGTTAGGTTGTCCCGGCCCCCGAAGAGTAGACATAGGCCAACTAAGCCCGTTGTGGTACTGTTATATCTCTTCTTTTCCGGCCCTGATTTGAACTAGCCACAGCTTATTCCTTAACGCTTACATTCGTTAAGTCTGTAGCGCGGCCGAAGAAATAAAAATCAAGAAATTTTTGCCTGGAGTTCGCTAGCGCCGGACTTGAGCATAGAAGGTGGGTCAAAGTTTCCTCCTCCCCTTCGTTACAGCAGCTCCCAAAGGTCGTTTGCGGTGCGGCTCATTCTCCTTGCATGTTCGCCAATCAGACAATGACCCGTCAAAACCCTTACCACAGCACTGATATCCCCCCGTCTGAGAAAGATCAGATCCCTTATGCGACGCAAATCTAGCTTTGGCCACAAATTCCTTGTCGCGTCACACGTTGCTTCATTAGCCTATCTAAGATTGGTGCGTTCCACTACTGCGTTGCGCAGCAGCAGCCCGTAGATGCTTACAGGCATGCCCAGGCCCTCTTTTTCAGGTGGAATCCCAAGGGTAGTTCCATGTGTCGCAAGCTCGTCGGCCTTACAGTTCCCCAGAATCACATTGTAACCAAGCTAACTCAGAGCCTTCGTAATCGCGACTAGCTCGGTCTGAAAGACACTACAGTGATTTGGTAAACGAAAGGAGAGCTTAGCATCCAATAGCTCAGAATAAACTCCTCCACCTACCCTGCCATCGAGTTTGGATCGGCCTGTGTAAAAATGGAAGAATCCGCCTTTAACAACTCGAATCCGCCTAACGGAATACGTTTTTTGACAAGGCCATAACTTGTACCAAATATATTGATCGTATCCCGACCTGCCGTTGAAGATGTAGTATGAAAAAATTTTTATATTCATATACTTACATCTTCCGAATCATTAAAACATATATAAATATTGTATGTAAGTGTAAACCTGAGCACTTAAGAACCGAAAATGTCAAGAAGTTACGATAAAGGTGAATGAATGATGATTGAAATGAATGATTGTAATTTACGTTTAAGATTTAAATTTGACTTAGGATACAAAAAATGATGACAGATTATGGTAGTTTTTGATTGTTTTTTTTTTTTATTTTTCTGTTATGAATACAAAATAGATTTTCCGTATTTGTTTTTATTTTGGTTTTCTGAAAAAGGACATTTTTTCAATCTATAGAAAACTCAAACATTTTTTTTACAAAATATCATCTTATCTAAGCTATGTAGCGAAATTTTTAAAAAAATTTCTAAATTAATTACAAGACTAATTAAAAGTTACGAAATTTAATTTTATTTTGTATTTGAATTCAAAACGAGAAAAAATAGAGTTGACCTGGTCAACTCTGTGATACCCGTACGAATTTTTTATTTTGTATGCAAGAACAAATATGCTACAGCTGACTATGGAACAGCCTATGACTTAAAGTTGCAGTATTACAATGCTCGTACATTAATTTATGCAAAATTTTGTACTGTTATTTCAATAGTTTCGATGATATGACCAAACAATTATTGAAATTGTATGGCAGCTACCACAAGGAGTCGAAAAATTTCAATGATTATTATTACACTTTACAGTCCTAATAATATATTCGCTTGTACGAGATTTCAATTTCAAACAAATTTCCTAATAATATATTCGCTTGTACGAGGGTTTTAGTTTTAAAGAGCTTTTATACTTTAAAACGCTTTTTTTCATTATATATAAATTTTCTTAAAATAATTTAACCGTGCGATTCTCTTGTAAAACCTTAAAATTTTTTTAAAAAAATAATAAATTTAATAAAATAAAATACACAAAATAAAAAAATTTTATGTGTTAGGTACCTACCTAATTTTGAATTCTTTCTAGGTGAATTTTTGTTGAACGCTATAAATTCATCGACTTGACATTAAAACCATCTGTATCAAACTAAAAATGGAATCAAAATCATATATACCTACTTACTTTTTATTCTATATTATATAGAATGAAAAATAAAGCAAAATTATACATAAACACATGCATATACATACATACAAAAAAAAATAATATTTTTATTTTCACATCACGTTTTTATTTTCAGTATTAATATCAATCTACTTCTATAATAATAATAATATCCTTTCTGTTCAGAAATTTCATAGTCTTCTATAATGTGCTATATAAAGCTCATACATATAAATATATGTATATATGTAAAATATCAAATAAAATGTGAAAGTTTTTCGTATATTTCTACATGCATGAATAAACTATATACATATATAGTCACACTATAATATTTTATATATGCTGTTTAAACTGTTATAGGACAAGAAATCCATATTATAATATTTAGAGAATCCGTATCTTTTATCGCAGTATTTATAGGTATATCGCACGATGAGAAGAATAACGATACAACTCAAATATAGAAGTTCGACTTTTGAAATTAAGAGTATTTATAGCCGAGTGTAGTTTACTATCGAAGGCTTAAAAACTGAACTATAATCTACAAGTATCTGAACAAATTTTCTGTATTGTTTTATTACAAGCTTTATATATTAAAATATAATATTAATAAAAGGAAGTCTGCGACTCTGCATTCTTAGTTATGTCATTGTTCTTCCAAATGTGCGATATACATGCATTAAAAATCTATATTATATATGTATACATGTTCAACTGTACATAAATTATTCTCATCATCGGTATTATCCATCACAATAATTTACCAAAAATTGGATATTATTATTTTTTGTTTTCCAACTTATAATCCCATTTAACAAAATTATTTTTAGACAATATGAAATTTCTAAAAAAGATCTTGTATATTATTATATAAATATTATACAATGTTACTATTATTATTATTATTATCCTAGGATATTCTATATATAAAATAATCTTAGATTAAAATGTCTGAAATTATTCATTATTATATACGAAATATATAAAAATAATATCAAATTTGTATATTAATATACCTGCGTGCCATACAATTAGTAATAGTGTTTGTACTTAAGTATACATAATATTTTATATAACATATATACATATAACAATTTACTATGAAAATGTTCTCTTACTATAAATGAATACACATTCATATTTATATAGTATTATTAGAGTAATTAGTATTTACTAGTAGCAATTTGTTTTCATACAATATGTATTGCACTACACACAAACCACAAAAATATTATTATACTAAGTATATATTTTATTCGACCAAAAATCATGAGAATACCTATACGTGAGCATACATGACACTAGATCTCTGCGTATAAAATAATATGTGAAAAGGTATATAGAATGAACTTTAGTTTTTCGAATTCGCCGGGGGAAACATGGAATAAATGAAATTTTATTATAATTTATTATTCAACCAAACAAATGTTTTTTTTTTGTTTTGTTTTCTGATTTATTTTTCGAACATGACTAATTTAAAGCAATTTTTCTGATATATTTTCTAAATGCATAAAATTCATTTTATATTGCATATTTTATTACAATATTTTAAGGTTTTTTTTTTGAAAAAATTAACCAAAGGATTTTAGAAGATAAAGTTATTTTAGAAAAAAAGGTTAATATCAAATCACATACATACATCGCAAAATACAGTCATAGCCACAATTATTTTCACAAGGCAAAATTTTTGTAAAATAAAAGTTTAAATTCATATAACTTCTACAATTATTAATATTTTAAGTCCATATTTATTTTTTAAATTCATTAATGGTTTACATATCAATACATAAAAACAAAAAGCAAAACAAAAAAACACAACAAAAAATAAAAACAAAAATGTAATAGCCAAAATTATTTTCACACTTTCTCATAGCGTCCAAAATTATTTTCACACAGCTTCAAAAGGATTGAAAACCTAGAAATTAATTTTTAATTTTTTTTTTATTTTGAAAAAAGAATAATCAGACTTTAACCTAATATTTGGTGCTTCCTCCCTTAGCATCAATGACCGCCTGGAGTCTTCTCGGCATTGATTCTATAAGTACTCGCTCCATTTCAGAAGAAATCGATTTCCAAGCATTTAAAGTGTCCTGCCAAGCCTCGTCCTGACATTTCCCAATTCTAGCAGGAATCAGTGATTTAAGGATGTGCCAGATGTTTTCAATTATATTTAAATCAGGACTCTGCGGGGGCCATTTAAGAGTATTTTGTTCAATATCTGACAAAAATTGTTTAATCATGTGGGCAGTATGAATAGGCGCATTGTCTTGTTGCAAAATAAAATTAGTACCAATAAGTACATCGCCAGCAACAATTGCAACATTATTCAAAATTTCTAAATAACTAGATGCAGTCATTTTATTGGGGCATAAAACAATGGGTCCTTTACCATAATATGAAACACATCCCCATATCATAATTTTTCCTCCATTAGAATGACGTGTAGGGGCAGTAACTGCTCTAGTTTTTTTATGTATTGTCTCAGAATGATAATAATGTCGCCCATAGGTGCCGTCTAATGAAATCGTAGTCTCATCGGTCCATAATATTTGCTTCTAATACTCTAAAGACTTATCTTTATATTCCAAAGCAAATTGCAATCTAGCCTCTCGATTTTTAGGAGTAATATAGGGTTGCTTGCGAATGACGTAAGATTTAAATCCGTTCTCCTTAAGTCTCCTGCGAACTGTTGTCATACTTACTTTATTTTCCCGGTTGTCGTTGAAGTTAGACAACGCTGATTTAAAAGTTTGACGTGGATATATTTTAAAAGACCGACATATAAGTGTGTCATCTTTTTTATTTGTCACTCTTTTTCTCCCTCTCCCTGGTAGGTTCTCACAATTATGATGATTTTTATATTTGTCTACAAGGTAATAAACAGTTCGCCGATCACAATTATATTTTTTAGCTATTTCTGAAGCTGAAACACCGCAATTAAACTCAGCAATTATTGTAGCACGCGTTTCGATTTTTAATTCTGCTTTTTTAGGCATTTTGAAAATTTATATGCACTTCACTGGAACGCAACTTTAGCTCTAATGATTGCAAATTAATATTTTTTCATTTATTATGATGAATTGTGTTCAAATTTACAACAACAAATCAGTAACAGTTATTTGAAGACCTCTGAAAATAATTGTAGCGCCATTGACGATATGTGAAAATAATTTTGGCTATTAGATTTTTGTTTTTATTTTTTGTTGTGTTTTTTTGTTTTGCTTTTTGTTTTTATGTATTGATATGTAAACCATTAATGAATTTAAAATATAAATATGGACTTAAAATATTAATAATTGTAGAAATTATGTGAATTTAAACTTTAATTTCACAAAAATTTTGCCTTGTGAAAATAATTGTGGCTATGACTGTATAATTAATATCAAATCACATACATACATCGAATTCCGAAAATCAAATTATTAACAAAATTTTATTTTTATATTAATAAAGTTGGGTCAAACCAATGGTTTGTATTGTAGCACTTTTCCCTTCAACAAGTGAAAATTCTGCTTTTAAATAGTCTATGTATACCTATCACACTATTAAAATTATTTTCATTCATATACAAAACTATTTCTAGGATTGCATATATTTAGGATGAACGATTTATGCAGTTTTTGAAATAAAGCAAAAATTAATATAAAGAGGGGTTAACATAATGCTCGATTTTAAGGGTTAATTGTGTGAGTTAAGAAAAATAATTATATTTTTAATGTCATGGAATATACCGTTAGCTTTTAGCGTTTATAGAAATTTGAAAAAGCTTGCTGTTTCGGAAATATAAGGCGTCAAAAATTAAACTTTTACAAATTTCAAGAGGCGATAACTTGAGAGGGGGCGGAGATGGAAAAAAATTTTCTTTTAACGAAATAAAGTATTTATTAGTATCTAACAGCTATTTCGGTCTCCTACAACTTGGGGTCTAGAAGAAAAACGACATCAAAAATTTGGTAAAAAACCGATCTTAAATAACGGTAAATTTGAACGGCCATTTTGTTTTTTTTAAAGGTTGAACATAGTGTGCCGCGATTGGAAAAGCAAGCCGCTGCCCTTCTGCGTTTGCAAAATTTGAAAAATGCTTATGGCTTCACTGCAATAAATAGTTAAAAAATGGTATTTTTAGGGTTTTAGGGTAACTTTTAGGGGGGGAGAGATAGGTAAAAATTTTGTTCTACGGAATTAGTTTCTAGTAAAGATCTATGTACATATTAAATTTCAGCTTTCTATCTTTAAGGGTGTAGAAGTTTTGTAAACAAAAAAAGTGTCAACGGACGGACGGACGGACGGACCGGGTGAAACTAATAAGCACTTTTTTTTCAAAAAATTTTTGGAAAAGTGCTAAAAAGTAGCACAAAAATATTAAATATTTTAAGATGAACATGTCATAGAAATGTTTAAGGTATAAACGGAATTATGTTCCTAAGCGACGGAATTGAGGGTAAAACTTTCGAAACTGACGTAAGCAAATTGATGTCAGCCGGCTTATTTTAACAAAGTAGATGTATTTATAGAAATTGAAAGTATGTACTTCCAAATTATTTGTATTACAAACTGGATTACCAAAATGGTATTAAAATGAGTGCCAGAATATTGTTATCGTACTCTTAAAGGCTACAAAATTGCTGTGAGTTCACTTTTTACACAAAATACACAATGGTTTTTAATATTTTTCAAAAATCTCCTTATATCTCTATATATGTACATTTCTTTGTCTCTAAGACCATGAATTTAGAAATTTAAAAATCGCTACTTTGTAACTTTACTTCCTGGCAATCTTGATAATCTTGAGTAATTTTGAAAAGAACCGGATATGGAGTTCGTTTTCAACATTTTAATATAAAAAATTAATCTTTCACTTGTTATTTTAGATGGCACATTAATTTTTCCGTGTATGTGTTTGTCATAATGTTAATGAGGTATATAGGAAATTAAGATTAAGTAAAAATTTTTCATCGAATTCCTTTAACATTTTATAAGCAAAAATCCAAGAGTATCATTGTTATGTAAATAAAATGATAAAATCTATAAATTGTGGTGTGGTAATTTCCGGAAATTTTTTTAACATTATTTTCATGTAAACGGAGTAAATTAAATATTTGTCATAACATGCGACATCTTTTTTTTTCGCTAAAAATTAAGACGATAAAGAAGACTAACAACATTTCAATCGTCCTTAACCAACTGAATTGCACCCTACACCAGGACAATATTATTATAAAAACAAGTTTTTTGAAATATCTAACCAGGGCAGGGTTGAGTGACAGTTACTCGAACCCTTTAAGTTATTTCACAAAGACTTTATGCCTGAGCTATAATTGAACCAATCCGACTGAATTGATTTCATACACCTAATCTTCTTATACCGCCTTACTATCTTCTAAAACAATTAAAATTAGCTTTTAGAGTTGTATGGCAGGAATTCCATTAAAACTTTCAAGATATATGCAAGATGTTTTTTGGTTTTGAAATATTTCAAATAATTTCTTTGGGCAGTTATCCGAATTCGTTATTCGAATTGGTTTAATAACAACAGCAGCTCTCTTACGCGGTATATTTGGCTATAATCCGTTTTTTGAAAAATTGAGAAATCGGTCGGACAGGCGAGCGGCCATATCTAAATTAACACAGAATTTAATACTGAGCAAGAGTATACATAGCGGCCTGCCGTTATGAAGTGAATCGGTTTCACAGCCCGCTAATTGTGAAAACAAAATAAATCAACAAAAACACTACTATAAAACATACAGACATCTTCATTAAGTAGCTAGAAATTTCATATCAAAGATAATGTAACCTTCACTATGGTGTATAGGGTATGAAAGTTTAGATCATTTATTGAGTAACTTTTACTATTTCAGATCTTTATTGAGAACTTTTCTGTATACTTATTTGTTTTACTAGTAAAATTTTACTGAAATAATTTTATTTTTTTTTTTTTAAATAAAAAGTATTTGATTTTTCTCTTTGACACTATCTAATGTGTTTGAAGTGCGTACAAAAAATATTTTCATAAAGTAAATATTGAAAATCTGTTTAAGTGTGTACTTTGATTTTCATAAAATGCGATATACATAGCATACATACATATACATAGGTCACAATAATATAGTATATACTTGTATAAAGAAAGTGCAGTCAACTAAACCTATAATACGTTAAGTAATGTTTGTATGTGTGTATTGAAATTTAACTTGTTGTAAGCGTTTTACAAAATAATTTATTTTTCGTTTTTCTTTTCATTATTTGTAAATTTAAAAATTTTTAATTATTGATTTGTAATTTATTTGTGTTTTTCAACAAACTTTTCTTTTTAAATTCTATAGTTTTTTTTTTACAAATTTTTATTAACAGAAAAGAAATTCGATTGATCTATATGCAAGGAAATTTGATAGGTGATTGCTGATGATAACACTTCATATTTTAATTTAAACTTTTGTTTTCAAGTGTTAAATTTTGAATATTGGTAAATTTTATTCAATTTAATTTTAAATTCATTTTGTAATCAAACATATACATAAATAGTTGGTTGTTGAACTTTTAAAAAATTCAATTTTTTTATTTTTAATTAAAAATTCAATTATTTTAACATCAGTTTAATTTCACTTCAACTTCTGTTGTGGGAATGTTTTAAAAAATAATACAAAAAATTATTTTCTGGAAGGTATCTACCTATGAGAAATTATTCGAATTATTCTAATAATATGGTTGTAATACCGTAAATCATTAAGTAGATTTTCATATATGCACATATTATGTGTTTTTCCATTTGCAAATGCAAATAAATATAAATATTTTAAAATTAGTAAAACTCTTTGAGCTACAATTTTGACGGATAAACTGCAGAAATTTTTGTCTTTTCTCTCCTTAATCTAAATAGTTTTCTTAACCAATATTGGTGAGGGGATTGTTTGGACTGTGGACACCGCATCCGATGGCTCGAATGGATGGCATAGTTCCAGCAATGCTTAAAATCACTAGCGAATTTATAGTTCCGTAGCTTTTAAAAGTTTTTGGAAGTTGCCTCTCGCTGTGTCATCTATCCAAATCATCAAGACGTGTGAGGGTGATCTTCATCCCAAAACCCGGAAAGGGAGCCCATGAAAACCTAAAGCATTTTAGACCGATTCATCTCATTTCCTTTGTTTTGAAAGCTTTAGATCGTGTCTTGGCGCTAAGGCTGCGGAACAGGATAGAGTCTGCTCTGCTTTGAGAATCATGGCGCGGTATCTGGTGAACTACACTGTATGAGGTCGTTGAGATGGTGCAGCATTCCTTTCAATACAAGCCCTTCCTCGATGTGAAGGAAGACTTCAATAATGTTAGCTCGTGGGCTATTCAGGGGTCTCTATCGCAGGAGATGTCAGTGGTTCGCTGATTAGTGTTGATGTTGTAGTCTAGAATCCCTTTTTCGGAGGGAGAATAAGCATATTAGCAGATGGATACCTAAGGGAGCGGTTCCATCTCCGCTTGTGTGGCTTATGGTTATGAATGAGGTCCTGATGAAACTCGATATGAGGCATGTCAGTTGCATATGCGGGGTCAGTTGCATATGCTCGTCCTGTAATAATGGTTTCGGGCTTCGATTACCGGTCAACAATCGGGAACGCCCTAGAGGGATCGCTGATCGAGGTGAGCTCTTGATAATGTTAATCGCCAGAATTTTAACAGGATTATGCGGAACAGTTAAAAATTTCGGTTTCACTTCTATATCATTACGCGGTTATAATTTATTCTGAATCTAATTAACATGCACTAAATAATATGAGGTAAATTAATTAAAATACTCCAGAATTTTTAACGTATGGCACAAATAATTTTTATTAAAGCGTAGTAATAAAAAATTTTTCGCGATTTGTTTTTCATTGTTTAGAAATTCTTTGTACTTTTCCGAAATCCATAAATTGTAAAATGAAAAAAACTTTCGCATATACAATGAACAGACAAACCACCTTAAGAAGACAATAATAACAGTATGAAAATTTAAAACAAAAGT